GCGCCAAACGACCGAGGACGCCTGAATTCCTCCTTTCGGGCTTGCAAATTAAGAGCCGGAGCTCGGAAGGACTTGCCGGGAAGCCAGTTCACTTGTCCGGGGGGCAAAGAAGGAGGAGGGAGAACCCGCCGGAGAGCCAGTTCGCTTGTCCTGGGGACAAAGAAGGAGGACCTGCCTATCCTGGGGCCCTAGGGACAAAGAAGGAGGACTTGCCGGAGAGCCATTCGCCTGTTCTGGAAACAACGTGCTGGAGAGCCAGTTCGCTTGTCCTGGACACAAAGAAGGAGGACCTGCCGGAGAGCCAATTCGCATCCTGGGGTCCTAGGGACAAAGAAGGAGGACTTGCCGGAGAGCCATTCGCCTGTTCTGGGGACAACCTGCTGGAGAGCCAGTTCGCTAGTCCTCCGGAGAGCCAATTCGCTTATCCTAGGGACAAAGAAGGAGGACCTGCCGGAGAGCCAGCTCGCTGATCCTGGGACAAAGAAGGAGGACGTGTCGGAGAGCCAGTTGGCTTATCCTGGGGACAAAGAAGGAGGAGCTGCCGGAGAGCCAGTTCGCTGGGGACAAAGAAGGAGGACCTGCCTATGCTGGGGTCCTAGGGACAAAGAAGGAGGACTTGCCGGAGAGCCATTCGCCTGTTCTGGGGACAACGTGCTGGAGAGCCAGTTCGCATGTCCTGGACACAAAGAAGGAGGACCTGCCGGAGAGCCAGTTAGCTTATCCTAGGGACAAAGAAGGAGGACCTGCCGGAGAGCCAGTTCGCTTATCCTGGGGACAATCCTTGGGACAAAGAAGGAGGAGCTGCCGGAGAGCCAGTTCGCTTGTCCTGGGGACAAAGAAGGAGGACCTGCCGGAGAGCCAGTTCGGAAGGAGGACCTGCCGGAGAGCCAGTTGGCTTATCCTGTGGACAAAGAAGGAGGACCTGCCGGAGAGCCAGTTCGCTTATTCTGGGGACAAAGAAGGAGGACCTGCCGGAGAGCCGGTTCGCTTATCCTGGGCATAAAGAAGGAGGACCTGCCGGAGAGCCAGTTCGCTTATCCTGGGGACAAAGCAGGAGGACCTGCCGGAGAGCCAGTTCGCTTACCCTGGACACAAAGAAGGAGGACCTGCCGGAGAGCCAATTCGCTTATCCTGGCGACAAAGAAGGAGTACCT